AATCTAGAGTTCTCTATTTTGGTTTTTCTTGATTTAGATTTTTGTGAAATAGACAGGTTTTAACTGTCTGAATGTCTCATCATGATTAGATTCAGTTTAGATATTTTGGTTAGGATACATTTAGATTTTTTTATATTTATGTGTATGTGTGTCTGTGCACATGTGTGTAGGTTCCTGTGGAGGCTAGCTAGAATAGATCTCCTTGAACTGGAGTTGCAGACAGGTTGTAAGCTTCCCAATGTGGGTGCTGGGAACCAAACTAATAATGCACACTTTAATCTTAGCACTCAAGAGGCAGAAGCAGGTGGATCTAGGGTCTTCTGCAAGAGCAGCAACCTTCATACCTGCTGAACCATCTCTTTAGCCCTACGGTTAGGATACCTTTAAGTAACAATAAATTTCAAGTTGTCCATGACCATTCCAGTTTTTATCTGTTGTTTGGAATCATTATTGATAGTCTGTCCTTTTCCTAGTAGTTCATCAGTTGTATGGTTAAGCACTTCATATGTGAAGTTGTATACCTATTATTGCATTAAATCAAGAGGTATATAAGACAGGTTTTTTTTTCCTTGTATGATAATTGATTGTTTGCTTAAGGTAATGGTTGTTCGATCTTTCCATCATACAGGTTTCTTTTCCTGTTTATTAGTGAGAGTGCTCTGTGCAGTGATGCTTACAGACTGTACACTGTTTCTCAGCAGTTGTTTTATATTCACTGATCATTGCTTAAATCAGCAATTGCATTGAGAAGTGAAAAATGGTGAAATTTTAATTATATTATTTCTTGTGTTAGGTGGCCTTTTTAATACTGGCCTCTTTATTTTTCCTGATATATCAGGGTATCTCAGACCCACTTGTACTTTCTTCCTGTCCCAAACTTATAATTATCATTTTCTTAAAGACCTGTGGTTCTTTTTGTAGGACATAAACAACATGTCATTTAGTGCACAGAGACAAGAAAAACAAACAAGTATATATCATGAATTCACATAGGTAGTCAGAATTCAGGTTTAATATTACAGGAATTTTATTTATTTTGCTTTCCATTTCTGTGTCTTTTTTAAAGAAATAAGTCTGATAATACATACCTTTAATTTCAGCACTCAAGAGGCAGAAGCAGGTGGATCTCTGTGTCTACATAGTGAGTGTCAGGCCAGCTGGGGCTACAGGGAGACCCTGTCTCAAAAGAGCAAAAAAAAAAAAACAAATTCCTTGGGTGTGTGCGGGTATGTGGAGGCAAAATGACTGGCAGGAACCCAGCACTCCGGAGGCAGAGGCAGGTGGATCTCTGTGAGCGTGGGGTGCTCTGTGTCTACAGAGTGAGTGTCAGGCCAGCTGGGGCTACAGGGAGACCCTGTCTCAAAAGAGCAAAAAAAAAAAAAAACAAATTCTCTGTGTGTGTGCGTGTATGTGCAGGCAACATGACTGCCAGGATCTGTATGTGGGGGTCAGAGAGTAACCTTGGGTATTGGTCCTTGCCTTCTAACTTGTTTGAGACAAGGCCTCTTATTCACTGCCCCACATGCCAGGGTAGCTGGCCCACCAACTTCTGAGGATTTTCCTGTGTCCACTTCCCATCTAGCCAGAGTGCTGGGATTATAGGCATGTGCTGCTGCCTCTAACTTTACCTGGTTCTAGGGATCTAAACTCAGGTCTTCATGCTTATGGGGCAAGTTCTTTACTGCTGAGCCATCTCCCTAGCCCTGTGTGTGGTTCTCTTGAGTGAAATGCTTAGCTTCTGATAACAGCTTAAAAGTTACTTAACTTGTCCAAGTAACACAGTATGTAATTGGAAGTGGGGAGCTCATGCAGTTTCTTTTGTGTATTTGTACCTGACTCAGTCTTCAGACATTCTGGGGAGCTTCCCTAGAAGCTTTAGGATATTTAGGCTTTTTCAGTTGTCTGATAGATAGCTTTGTGACTAGAAGGCAAAGGAGCCAAAAAGTTCATCAAGATCTACTGGAATCTCATTTACGTTAATCATTTCCAAGCTTAAGTAAGTGACAACGAATGTTTAACTAGCTTAATTAGCTAATTAACTAGTTTGTAACTCTGTGGTGCCTCTGTGTGCACTAGTTTGCTTTCGCAGTCCGTGTGCATTTGTGACTGTGTGAGATAAGAAAGGGGCTAGTGCTCTAGAGTGTAAGACTTTAAGAACTTTGTTATTTATGTTTACTAGATGAAGTCCTGATGCTCCATTCTTCGAAGGAATGAGAGATCACTTCCTGCCACAGTCCCTGGTCCATTTACAGCAGCAAGTTACTCCTCAGCTTGAAGATTTGTCTGGGCCATTTTTTCCCATTATTACCTTATATGGTAATTGCAAGGCTCAAATGAAAAAATACAAGTGAAAGTCCTTAAGAAACCTGTAAATGGAATTTTTCTGGCACTATTCAAAGTCATTTTGTTTAGGTTTGTCTAAAATGAGATTTGTGCAAAAGATTTCTCTTACTCCTTTCTGATTCATATAGAAAGCAGTGTTTCAGTTCTGTGCTAGGTCATGAAGCAAATCTCTAGAGGCCTGTCTCGGCATCTCCCAGTCAGTCCCTGCCCCTTTGCTCCTCATTGCACCACAGGGAGTAATAGGGGAGGCACATTTATAACCTCTATATTTGAGAACAATTTCTAGATAAGCCAAATTATCTCCACAAGAAACAATTCATATTTGTGATGTCTTTGGCTTTAGATTTTAAAGTGTTGTATAATTTGGTGGGGTTAAGCTAAGCAGACTTTGAAGCTCCAGATGTAGTAATGTGTTAGAGCTCCCATCTACATATCATGAATCCTGAGATTAAGAATCACCCTGACAGTGAAACCATATCACAGAGATCGCAGCTCTGGATGTCTTAGTAGTGTCAGAATAAAACACCAAAAGGTAGAGTGTCTACTGTAATTGTAAGATCAACCCAAAACTCTAGTGCAGAGTGGCATAGCATTCTTGAAGATTCATCAAAGGAAATGGAAAAATGTATAGAAAGGGTTATTTTCTTTTGTAGGGTGGGTTTCAAGTTATTAAAAATATCATTGTATTATAATTTGTTCCAAAACTGAGCAGTTTGTTCCCTTCATCTTACTGTGTCGATACGACTTTTGAAGCAGTGATTTGGTTCGTATTTTAAACACTGCCTGGATCGCCTTCACTATGTCATTTCAGGCTGTGCACACTCAGACATCTACTAACTCACAGTGGATTTCTGGGATAATTGACCTGTTTTGCATTGACAGTTGTTAAGTACACCTATCTGCTGCTCCCCACTTCTCAGCATGTTGTCCTGAACATTGCCAGCCTGAGACAAGCTGAAAGTGGCACGTATGGCTCCTGCTGAATGTTTATTACATTTGCAGCCCTGTAAAGTGGAAAAAGGATAAGGGAAGCACCACCTGTACAGCCTCGCTCAGCTCTCACGAGTAAATCCAGGACAGCTTAAAAATATAATTACCATTTTGCCATTGTGAGTTACTACTGTAAAATGACTGATTTCCAGTATACTTGTAAGAAAATTACAAAATCTGTATATTCAGTGAAAAAAATACCAATTTTCTATAGTTCAGTATGCATTTCAGTATTTTGAGGTTTTAAAAAAGTTTTTATCGAGTCTCTGCACATTTCATACAACAGTCCCTAATTAAATTCAGACCCCCTCCCCCATCCATGCTTCTATCTCCCTGCTGGACCCCATGCATTCCACTGTACATGTCAAGTCCCATCCAGCCAAGCATCTGTACCCAGATGTCCCTTAATGCAGATTCATCCATTGGACTCTAGTCAGTGCATCCGGAGATCATTGGCAAGGCCTGTTCGCCTTCACCCAGTAGCAGTCGGTCTCCAATAGTTCCCAGACTGCGGCTGACACACCACCCACCTCCCTTGCTCCGCTCTGGCCCCTGTCTAATTGAGTTGGCGTGGGTCCTATGCTCTACATCACCATTGCCACAAGTTCACATGAGCAAGCTTCCAGTGGCCCGAAAGCCTCTGCCTCCCTATGTTCATGGCCTAATCCTGGCTCCTGCAATCTTTCCACTTCCTCCTCCTCTGCATCGGTTGCTGAGCTGTGGGTGGGAGAGGTTTGACATAGGAGTCCTATCCAGGGACACACACTCTGCAGTCTCTTATACTTTAAAATGTGGCCAGTTGTGGCCTTCTGTGTGCATCACACTCTGTTGTATAAGGAAACTTCACTGGTGAGAGTTAAGGGACATACTAGTTTTCTCTCCACCCCCCACCCCCCGTTCTGCTGTTGGCTGTTGTCCATGACTCTTAGGTGTAGAAGTTCCACTGTAGATGTGTCACCTAGGACTGGGCATCTCTCAGACGTATATTCTCTGTGTGTGACCAGTTAAGGATTCTGCAGTAGTCCAGCTGTTGCAGAAAGAAGCTTCTTTGATGAGTGGTAAATGGTATACTTTTGTAGAGTCCTAGGTAGTTTTTATATAGGCCAAAGAAAAGTTTGAAATGGATTGGATTAGTGGTGATAATCACTAAATCTTCCTTTTTATAGTTAACTTTTTATTTTTTTTTTCAGCTAGAATTTCACTGTGTAGCCTAGAATGACCTTGA